ACATGAGAAAGGGCTTGGAACAGAATCTGTCACACAGTACATTACTATCCCTATTACTGTGATCACCAGTCATGTTTTATAGGTTTTATAGGTAGCATGAGGCTAGAGAATCACTCCAATTCAAGGGATGAGCATCCCTGAGGATCTTAACTACAAAGAAGATTAAATCAATAGTTATGTGAAGGTAAGGAAGTTCTCAAGTTCCCCAAAAGAAGATGAGAGCTTTACCTCACCCTGTGAGGTAGGTTCATTGACTCATGTGAGAGAAAAAGAATTTCAACTCAGGTATGGTGGTTTATGCCTGTAATCCCAGCACACTGGGAGCCTAAGGCAGAGGGCTGTAAATTGGAGCCTACCCTGGACAATTTAGTAAGACGGCCCTCACTCAGTCGCTAAATAGTTTTATAAGTATAAGGGTGGGTGAGGGAGTGTGTAGCTCAGTGCAAAAGCCCTGAGTTCGATCTCTAGTAGTACTGCAACAACAAAGAAAGAAAGAAAGAAAGAAAGAAAGAAAGAAAGAAAGAAAGAAAGAAAGAAAGAAAAGAAAAGAAAAAAAGGAAGAAAGGAAGAAAAAGAACTTCAGGACATGTTCCTGTGAGGCATAGGCAGACTACTCAGGCAGAATCAGAAAGCATGGGTGAATAGAGAAAGGGCTCCACATGAAGAGGTTCAGACCACCCTCCTTATAAAAGACAGGCCAGCCTTTAAGAAGAGATTAGCTGAGGTGGAAAAAGTTCCAGTGATCATCACCTCAGTTTTGATTTCCTGAGCTCTGTGTGTGTGTGTATGGGGGAGTCCTCTGGGGGGATCCTATGGTGTGAGGGGCACTTGGAGTCCCATGAGAGGACGATGGTTTCTGGGGATGGGCAGCCTTGGTTCCTCTCATGGGGTAATTGCTCCCATTTAGGGGAGGCGATCTTATCATGGGCTGGGCTATGTCCCTCTGCGTTTCCTGGAACCCGAGGTGATTACAAGTTTAAGACAGAGGTTGGAGGCTTTTAGGCATGGCTCAAGGGGAGTCTGCAACTGGACCATAATAAAAAGCTGGCATTTGGATGTTCCTGCAAATCCTGAAAATTACTTTAGGTTACTCTTCTCTTGGCACCTCAGTCTTGAAGGGAGTTGAGATGGACCAGGTAAACATAGGGCTCGTAAACCTTGCATTGTGAACACTGCTCAAGTGATTAGGGTGCCTCTATGCAGAGCTGAGCAGAAGTCTGCTTAAAATCAAAGTTTCAAGGAACTAAAAGAGATATAAAATGAGGACAGAGACACCAAGCCTTGTCCTGCTACTAGTTACCTCTGGGGCACCTGCAATCTAGAGCCTGTAGGTCCTTGTCACCATCCATTCTTCAGTCTTGAGGGAATTAAAGAATCGGTCAATTTGGCTTTGTAAGTGTCCTGCACAGCCAGCGACCTAGCGTATGAGAAGAGGACTAGCTGAGTCTCAAGTTTCTGGGGTGCCTGGTCACAATGCTAAGGGCACAAGGGTATGGAGTGCAGATACGGATCACCTTGAGTAGCTGCGGTCATCCTTCAAACTGTGTGCTAGTGGGGTGAGTCTTGTCAGATAGCAGACTGACTGCCAGAGAAACCGACTTTATAATGAAAGGATTGGCATGTTCAGCCTCATCCCTTGATATCCAGCAGAGGAGAACTGGAGACTGATTTAATCGCTAATGCCCAGCAACTGCACAAATCATACTTATGTAATGAAGTCTCCGTAAAAACCCTAAACAGTGAAGTGCAGGGTTGTGGCAGCCTCCAGGTTGGTGAAGACACCAAGCATCTGGGAGGTTGCCATGCCCTGAGATGGCTCAGAGGCGCCACACACCACGTCAATGGAAGATATGCATATCTACCATTTGGTCATTCCTGAGCAGTACCATAACTTACTGTAGTAACAAGCACAGTGCTTTTCTGGGTTCTGCAAGCCTCAGGAAAATCACTAGAGAGGAAAGAAATCACACAGCAGGCTACACAGCAAAACATGTAGCCCAATTGTGGAGCCCCATTGTGAAGCCCCAGTCACAATGCGGGACTTGCACCTGGCATTACATCCCAGTACTTAGAGCCATATGTGAACAGGATGTACAATTGATGTCTGGAACTTTTTATTGTGAGGGAAAAACTCACAGACTTGGTGTCAGAATTGTTAAGTAGCTTTTTTTTCTTTTGAGCTTTCATCCTCTACTGTCTTTTCTGCTTGTCTCTTCTGCTAAGTCATCTATCACAGCATTCACCAATTCCCCAAAGATTTGTAGCTTTTGTTCCACACAATAAAGCATGCAATAAAAACTCCTCAGTGATTATTACTCAAGGATCATTTCTTCACCAATAGGGAAAGGGACAGGAAAGAGAAGCTGGGTTCTGGAGCCCCAGACAAGAAACCCCAGCTGAAGCACAGGGCCCTAAGAAGTCACAGGCAGGCCAGAGAGACAAGGCCTTGTTTGAGTACTCATGATAGGATTAAGTCTGCAAGAGAAAACTGCTTATAGAATCTTTGCTGATGGGGGCCTGCGGGTTAGCTGGGGGCCTGCGGGTTAGCTCAGTTGTTTCAGTGCCTGCTCATGCAAACACAATCAGGCCCTGAGGTTTGATCTCCAGCTCCACATGCCTTACCAGATATGCCCTTAAGGCAGCCTGAGCCAGGAAGAAAAAAAAAAAAATCCTGGAATCTTTGCTGAGAACTACCATTAATTCAATAAAAGATGCCTAAGTCTCCCTTTCTGGTCAGACCATCTTCCTTAAAGCAATGAGTATGTGTTTGCTACCATGCTGTTTATTGAAAAATATGTATGAGGGGGGCCTGCCCATTAGCTTAGGTATTTAAGAGCCTGCAGAAACAAAGCAGTCAGGCTCTGGATGCTGTGGTTTGATCCCCTCATCCTCAAGCCAAACCAGACCTGCCCTGAAGGCATCCTGGAGGGGGGACAAAAAAATGTATGAGAACAGGGCTGGTGAGATGGTTCAGTGTTTTAAAGCACCTACTTAGAACAAGCTCAGCAAAGCACAGGGCCGCGGTTCAACCCCCAGCACCACATGCCAGCCAGCCCCGCCCCCTGGTGGGCTGAGCTGGCTACACACACACACGCGCACACACACACACACACACACACACACAAATAAATTAAAAAATAAATAAAAATTTAAAAAAAAATGTATGAGAACAAGTACTATAGACTGATTGGAGCAAAGGACAGTGAAGGAAAAAGTCACCTCGGCAATATTTTCCCAATGGGGGGGGGGGCACTGGGAAGATGGCTCAGTAGAATAAGCACTTGCCTGGCAAGCACACCGGCCTGAGTTCAATCCCTTGTTCCGCCAAAAAAAAAAAAAAAAAGTTCCAGATCTGTGTGACACGGAACAAATGGGCAATATCCTGCACTCATGAAAGTCTAGAGAAGAGGGACTGGTAGCCAAAAATACCACCTGTGCCTTAGTACCTGGCAGCTCTCAAAAGTCTATATCAATAGCAAAAGGAAGCACCAGTCAGTTCTTGGCTCATCCATGCAATAGAGGAACAGGGAGCACCCTATTTCCACAGGACATGATGGACACATGCCGGTGTGTCAATACTGTTATTATCCTTTCATTTGTCTACAAGGCTAGGCTATCACCTGTGCCCAAACTGTTATGGTAAAACTTTCTTCTTTTCTCCAACATCACGAGGAGCAACCTCCTTTCACATCGGGCTTTTGGATGAATGACTGCTCAGGTTTTCTCTTCTTTATTTTTTCAGGTTTTCTAATGTCCCATAGTTGTAGGCTTGCTACACATGAATAAACTTTGGGATACAGGTTGCCTTCCAGATTTGTTGTCCCTCGTTTCTCATTCATAGTTGTTATATGATTTTGACTTTTGTATTGTGGAATCAAGAAGGGAACGGTAAATAGCAAGAAACAATAAGCCAAGGAAGTGGAACAGTTCTTTCCTGAAGCTGGGAAGAGAATGCGTTGTTTAAATTTTTAGTTTTGTGATGCTCGGCTGTAATCCTAGCATTCAAGAGGCTGAAGCAGAAGGAGTGCCACAAGTTCAACGTCAGCCTGAAACACATAGCCAGACCCTGTCTCAAACTAAGAGACCACAAACAAAATAAAAAAGTTCTGGTTTTATAGGATGAAAAGCATCATGGAGCTGGATAGTGGTGATGGTGAACATCATAAATAGATGTGATAATACACTACATAAAATTGGCTATCGCCAGGTATGGTGGCGGCTCACACTTGTAATCCCAGAACATGAGAGGCTGAAGCAGAAGGAATGCAAATTAGAGGTCAGCCTGGGAAATTTAGCAACTTCACAAGACCCCATTTCTTTCTTTTTTTTTTTTTTTTTTTTTTTTTTGTACCAGGGATTGAACTCAGGATCTTGCGCTTGTCAGGCAAGCACTTATTCTTCTGAGCTATTTCCCCAGCCCAAGACCCCATTAAAAAAAAAAAAAAAATGTATCATTGGGCTGGGGATATAGCTCAGGGTAAAGTCCCTTGGTTCATTTCCCAGTACAAAAGATAATTTCCCTACTGGCTTCAATGTATAGTAAGTTTCTTTGCAAGCCATCATTTTATTTAATTTGAGGCTGAAAATCTTCAGTGTAACGGTGGTGATCCCTAGTGACTCGAATGATTGTCTCCTTCCTTCCAGTTTGACAACTGGGTGGGGTAGAGAATGGAGGAGGAACCACAGGGGAGGAAGGAAGATAGATCATTTGGGGGTGGGGATCCAGAAGGCCAGGCTTATTTTCAAAAGGAGTGTACCAAGTGTGTTGTCAGCTGCAGGAGAGCGGGAGAGGAGCTTGGCTGCAGGTGTGGTCCGGGGGTGGCAGTGGCAGCAGATACACAATGTGGGCGGTGCGTTAAGGTGAGGGCAAGGTCGGGAGAAGGCAGGCAGAGCTGGCTTTAGCCTGAGATTTGTTCATGCAGAGCTAGCTTCCTCTGCCTCTATGTAATCCGAGCCGTTGTTCTGACCATCCAAAAAAACACTAGTAGAGGTTCAATGACCCCATTTGAGGGGTTTTTATTGTTATAATTATTAAACATGCTAAAATCACAGAGTAGCTATTCCATTTCTGCCCCCACAGTGGGACAGGAGGGAACTACTGGGTTCACTTGGCTTGTGCAGCCTTGGTGGGGAGGGCTACAGTTGGGGGTTAGAGCTAGGCAGGTTAGCAAAGCCCCAAGAATCCTTCCTGTACTATGCTTTCACAGGCCGTAACCCATGGCTTTAGGGATCTCCCCATTCTTGACTTTTCTTTCTTCCCTAAATCCCCCCATACCTCCTTTCCCTGCTTGTGGTCCCTGGAGCCTGTCCTGCCTTGGTTCACTACGGTCATAGACTGGAGGATGAAGGAAAGTTTCCTCTCCTCCCTAGGTGGGAGCTAAGCTGCTCAGCATGCAATAACTGGTAAGCTGCTTGATTTAGGTCTGTCTGGGGCAAAGGAGGCTCCAGTCCCCACTGCGACTTTGATCCTAAGAAGTTGGAGGTGGTAGTGCAGAAGGATCTGAAAGGGAAAGAATGTCACATGAAGTGTGAATGTTGGAACGGGCAGACAGTGCCTCTGCTCCACTCTCAGGCACCCTACTCCAAAGGTTTCCCGCTTTCCTACATTGCTGTTGGTGATAGTGGGGACCTGTCAACCTCAAAGCCTCTTGTGCTCCCCCACACACACAGAGCCGGCCTAGGTACTTAGCCCAAGGAGACACTGGTTCACCCTTAGGGAAACAGCTTCTAACTGAAGTCTTCATCTTCTCCACCTTCCTTGTGCCTCTACTGCTGTGACGGCTTCAGAGTGCCAGAGAAAAGAACATAGAAAGGCTGACTGTGCCTCAGTGAGAGGCTAGAGGGACAAAGAGCCAAGACACATGGGAGTCAGGGATGTGGAGAAGGGGAGAGAAGGTAGCAGTGCGAGGGGCAAGGCTGGCCATTCAGGAGCTGGGGTCCTTTTTCCTTTTCTGGAATCGCCGGAACTTGCCCTGAATAGCAAGCGCAGCCTTCTCTGTCTCTGGGGCCGTCAGATCGATATCAATCTCCTCTTCCTCCTCAGCCTTCTTGGCATTGCCAGTCTTCCCTGTGGATGGGTGGATACAACAGATAAGTCAACCTGCCCCCTCAACCCCTGTTCCAGCCCCAGACACAATGGTGAATGTTTATTTTGTACTGGATTCTGGGAGGGGGCCCTCCAGTCTTTGCTAGGACTATGAGTGCCTGATAATTCTTCTAGAACTTTGAATCACAGTACCTAGGCTGGGAACTAGCTACAGTTACCTCAGGAGGTTTTGCTATTTTGACAAATGTCTTCTATTATCATTTATTCTTAAATCCTACAGTACAGTTCAAATCTCAAAACATACTGACCTTTCCCAGCTTTCCACTGATTTCTGATGAAGACAATAACTGGGATTTTCTGATGAGTTTCTTTTTATCATTGTACTGGCTTTCCCCAACCACTCCAGACTTACTAGCTTCTAAAATAAAAGAGGAGCCGGGGAGATGGCTCAGTGGAATAAGCACCTCCCTGGCAAGTGCAAGGGCCTGAGTTCAATCCCCAGTTCCACCTAAAATAAAAGAGGAAACCATGAAGGGTTTATGTCTTAAGAAAAGGTAGAAAGAAGCTTATGGGAGTCTTATTCCTCTGATGTCTGACTTTTGGAGATTATAGATTTACATTCCTGTCTTCATGCCCCTAATTTCCTAGGCTCTACAAACGGCCTCCCCCAACCCTACTCACCTTTTTCCTCTGGGCCAGATGCTTGGTTGGTTGCTGGGGATGTTTTCGTGTTAAGCTGGAAGGAAAAAAATGAGAGTATTAGATATTCACAGGAGTAGCAAGGAGTCCTCCCCTTGGGTGCACATGCTGCCGTATGATTAGGTACATTCCTTTAGTCTTTTGAAGAAGTGAGTCTTGAGATCACGAAGAGAAGTCATCAAAAATCATTTAGGGGCTGGTGAGATGGCTCAGTGGTCTAAAGCACCTACTTAAAACAAGCTAAGCAAAGCACAGGGACCGCGGTTCAATCCCCCAGC